CAGTCAAATGTCGAGCCAATTATCACTAAAAACCCTTCGTTTTCTGGATGAAAAATGTCGTTCGAGGGGAAAAAAAATGACGGAAATTTGTTCCATCATACATAAATGCACGATACACGGTGAAAAAAATTACATGAATTTGGACTTCAGTTCTCCTTTAAGTCTTATGGTTTTAGAACTTTTACAGTAGCTGCTCCCTTTTTATGGAAGTCCTTACCTTTAGAAGTCAAGTCTTCGCCCAGTTTGAATATTTTTAAATCTAAACTGAAAACATACCTTTTTAAATGCGCTTTTAAACTAAATTAGATAACTTAATCTTTTGTTTTTATATTTCTAAGTCATACTGTAATACAATGGATGTAAAGCGCTTAGAACGCATGCGGATAAGCGCTATATAAGTGTTAAATGTTGTTAAAAAAAATGCGCATATGATTTGTCCCTACGCGCTTTTAAATTGGCAGGCGTCAGATCGTGACAGATACTTTTGAAAAATGTTTCGGAGTTTTCCTGGAAGCCTTTTAAATCGCCTTTTAATATCATTATGCAGATAAATATGTTTTGATGGAACCTCTCTCTTTCATTTGCATTGCCCTTGTTTTCTCTACCATCCACTCGCTCATAAATTGTTCCGTTTATGGAGAATCTTGCCGTAATTTCAGCCCTTTATCATTAAGGTTCTTTTCGCAACCATTTGTTAGGTTTTAGAAGAGGCATAAAAATGTTATTCACCAGCTAACGTCGGTCCGTATTGGGAAAAACTGTGCCCTCCAAGACCTCGGACCACCCATCTAGTGAGTAACGTATATTTATCTTCCATGGACTAGCTACTATATCTAAGAGAAGTCAAAGTGCTTTGTTGGTCGGTGCTAATAATTTTTAGATAGAAAACACTAAAGTGTGCACTTTCTAGTGGATAAGTAACATGGATAGAAAAAAGACAGAAATATGAGCAAAATCGATAGGACATGATAGAACTTCTATAGGGCGTGGGCTTACTATTTCCAGATGTCTTTACCGTGACGAAGCTCTTTTTATCCCTTTAGCGTTTCCTTAATTACCTACCTTCCCTGCTTTACTTGATCTTTACTCACTGACGGCTTCTCAAATTTTTCTTTCTTTCTTCAAAAAAATATCAATCGTCATCTGAAATTGCTTCCCTGGTACCAGAGATTGTGTAGGATCCTAAGAACCAAGCTGTTAACGCTGGTTTCAACGCAACATTTGAATGCGCCGCCACAGGTAATTCCACGCCGTATATCACATGGATAAAGAACGATGACGCACTTGCTGCACAGTCTAACAACTGGATTAGAGAAGCTGAGATTTTCCTCGACGACGAGCAAATTCATAGCCAGCTGGTGATAAAGGGTGTAAAGAGGGAAGATAATGGAAAATATTATTGCTTTGTAAATAATAGTGCGGGAGAAAAAAGCATCAAAGCCGGCATTCTTGTCTACAAAGGATCCAGGTGAGATATATGCTCTATATTTCTTACCTTGGCATTAAATTTAATTATGAAACGACCATTTCTTTTGGGAAAGCGATGAAAGTACTTGAAAGATATTCTTTCACTTGAATACTGGACATATGTATCACAGAGAGCAGCTCTGGGGAAATAGCTTCCAAATCTCACGTTCCTGTTCATTAAAAGTTAGGTGAGGTTGCATGTTGATAATAAGCATGGAATTTACTTTCCTTGTAGGGCAATCATGTAGCAGAACTCAGTATGAGATTTTACTCTATCTAAATTGAAGAAAAACATCATTTTTGCCGACTGAGCAAGCAGATAATCAGGTTTCAGTTTCTCACGCTATGAGACGAAACGGCCAGCAGCACCATCCAATACGCTTGATAGGTCCATGCAGTGTTCAATCTCACTGTTTTTCATTGTTCTTCTTATTTCAACAAGCCTCTTCAACTACAGCTCCGCCAATAAAGGAACAATGACGTTCTGTTCCCCTGGTAACTGCACTTGGTGTGTGTGGTGGCGGAATAATTTCATTCATGAGCGGATGCATTGTGGCGTTTTTGTATCGACGTGCAAGAAGAAATCATGGGGTAGCACTTCTTGAGTGTAATCGAACTTCGTAGCAACAAAAAGTTAACTCGATCAAACGCCCACAAAACTTTTTTTTTCCAACTATAATCGCTGTTAAATAAAATTCGCAGAAATACTTAAGGTGCAGAATAAACTACCCTTTTTGTTTTGAGCAATTGGGCATTTCGATCGCCAGGGCATTTGTAACGATGTCTAACACCTTAAAACTGTTCTCAATTGAACATGTTGCACTCCTTTCTGTATTAATATCAGGGCAATAAAGGTGCGGAAGAGATCTATGTGACCTGCAAAGACAACAAAGATTTGGCTGAGGTGATACTGAAAGATATGAAGGAGAATATGGAATCGTTTACAAAGGTCGCTATGGTGGAAGGAACGGTAGCATTACTGATGTGAAGAAGAAGTGAAGAAGTTGAAAGGTATCCATAGGGGCCTTATTCTATTAGCTTAAATCTTTTCTCAGTTATTGTTTTCTCGGCAGCGTGGGCGGATGAACAAATAAAATGCGATTATACGTATTTTTGGGACTATTGTATGTTACTCAATTGCAATCTGAATTCTTTAACTTAATATCTGTAGCAAGGTGATTAGACTGGCAGAGTATTATCAGTATTCTTTGCTTTCTTTGCATTAGAGGTACAACACAACGTAAGCAACTTATGAATAATTATCACCTTTGTCTATTATTTTATGCTCGGTAATGCATGCACACCTGCGAAAGCCGCGTTGCCGAATGAGATAAGAACGCTGAAACAGGCTGGACGACATCCCAACATTGCCAACCTAATTGGAACACGGGTTTAAGGAGGTGAGGTTTATTTCGACTATCCAAATAACATTCTTATTAATCTACGCAAAAAATAAGAGTTTATTTATGTAATGAAGTTTACTGGGCTGGGTAATTAGGGTGCAAGAAAACTCGATCTCGCAGAGATTCTAAAGACGAACATCTCCATGGAACTGTACCCTGTGAAATTATCGAGGAGGCGAACGGTCAAAAGGATATCTTGGTCAATTTTCAGAATTCTACAAATAAGCTTTGAGACGAGCAAAACTCAGCAAATATATGGATTTGCGGTGTTTTCAAGATGTTAGTGGATGAAAGTTAGAGAGATGCCTCCGGGTTTGGGGCAATCTGCGACTTCATTGGAGTATATGCTATGCAATGATATGCCTTTTTGCCTCGATTAACGCCTGAATTTTGAGAATTCTTTCTACAAATTATAAGATTTTTGATATGCAAAAATTAATAAAGGTCGAAGATTCTCCTCTGGTAACGCTGTAATGGAAAATATTTCAGGTGAAGTTACCATCTTTTGTCCGTACACTGACTGAATACATCATGTAATTTGTAGCGAGAGCGAATTCCGTGAGCTTTCTTAATGCATTCGCTTCGCACCGAAGAAATCTTTGAAATTCACACTTTCGATCGCTTTCCACACGGGTGGTCTGGCCAAACATCAATTTTTAGCTTGCGACCACGCAAAAAGGGAATTGGAGAACAAATAAACTATTTTTGAAACATGTGTCCTAAACCCTTTTTATGGGCAAATAGTCAAAGAAATTTTTTTTCCGACGGGAAGTCGAGAGGACCGCTCTCAGCGAGAGCGGCACTTAAAATTTCAAACTCATTCTTTTTTTGTCCATATCTAATCTATCAAAGATATATGGTAACTTTTGCAAAACTGATGCGACCAACCCGCAGTACTCCCTAAGGTGCGTGCTGTTAGTTGGTTTGAGGGTACTTTCTCACGTCGTCGAGTTCCCGTCAATTTGTAGCAGCAAATTTGCTCCTGATAGCCAACTTTTCTTTCCTCAGAGACAATTCTTTTCGTCGCCGAATTGGTCCGTGATGGTAGCCTTGAAAGCTTTTTGAGGTGCAAGGGTGACGGAAGTAAGGAATATGCGAATGTGCATTGTAAGCTGAATGACCGACAGCTGCTCAAAATTGCTCTACAAGTGGCCTTGGGAATGAAACATTTAGAAGAGCAGAAAGTTAATCGGACCTTTTCCTAGCAAAGCTCTTGATGAAAATTTAACTCAGTTATTTGCTTTTTGCTTTTGCCGATGATATTTGCACGATAGAGAATCAATAAGGCAACTTTTCTTTCCAGTGCATTCACCGCGACCTTGCCGCGAGAAATGTTTTTATCGATCTAAACATGGTGGCAAAAGTCGGAGACTTTGGATTAGCAAGGGAAATCACAAAGGATAGATTATACATGAAAACCTCATGCGTAAGTACTGTGCCACTAATTGTAACTTTCCTAGCTACTTTTACTAATACTGACTGTATTAAATTATTTCCCTCTAAACCAGACAGACAAATGGCCCCATATAAATCCTGCCATAATTTATATCGATTACCTTATTTATGATCTATGGTGTAACTAACATCCAACCAAACGGATGGAAAATCCTTAGGTTGGCGAAGTGACTTGTTGGCTTGTTCATTCCAGGTTATACAAGTTAATGTTACAAGATCATGCACACCTCCCATTTTCACAGGCTAAAGTTCCATGGAGATGGTCGTCTTTAGAATCTCTGCGAGATCGCGTTTATACATCCAAAAGGGGTTTTGTGTAAGTGACACGAAAAGTGGTATACAAAGTTGTTATACATCCGATGCAAACGTAGAGTATCTTGGAACAAAACCTTTTTAGTATTGTTACAAGTCAGGTTTGATCGCATCGTCAAAAATATGTAGTGTTTGGTGCCAAAGCATGATAATTAATGACTCTCAGACACTTTCAACTATGATTGTTGGTTGTTATTGTTTTTTTCAGCTGTAAAGTTTCAAATAGGATAGGAAGGATGGCAGGTTTTTAAGCTCGGTAAAAAATTCTGATTACCATGAAGAACGGAACCTCAGTTTTTATTAAAACATGGCCAACAGTGCTGGTACCATTGCACATGTCTATACTCATACGAAATACCACTTATCATTAGAAAGACTGACCAACCTTGAATGACTTAATTTTCCCGCGAAACGCTTAAATAATCCGAAACCTCCATAAAGCCACGCGTTCATCTTCAACGTGTAATCAGAATATTAATTTCAGAAAAATTCGTTCCCATGTCAATCAAACGTCAGCAAGTACATACTTAACTGAAAGTAAGTCATCAATCTTTGCTTTTTGGCTCTCAAGGTTTTTTTTCCGCCCATTTGTAGGTGGTCGTTTGGCATACTACTTTGGGAAATGGCAACTTATGGTAGGTCACTAAATATTTGATGAAATAGAAATGTCAATCTAAAAGTGAGTGCTGACGATGGGAAAAGGGTCGGGAATGCATACAAATTCACATCGGTTATAGAATTCCAAAATACTTTGTTTTATAGTCTGTGAGAGGTTTTTGAAGGGGGGAAGATAAGGCAATTCTTCGGACAGTAATTAAATAGTATGTTATTCGACAAGTTAATGGATCAAAAGGGATGATTTTAATGAGTTGAAACATTCTAGGAACAACATTATTGGGTTTCCTTTGCAATTTTGAGCTCACTGGCTATATGTCAACAGATGTGTTAGAGGGAGAGACAGGTTAAAACTCTATAATCAATTAAGGACAAGTTACTATTGTTAAGCAAACTCTCTTATAAGTTATTTTGCTTAACAGGTGACTCACCATATCCTGCTCTTAAAATCATAGGATCTTGGTCACAATCATATAATTATGGAATCTGTAAAATCGTGTAGAATTTACAAACTATGCTGTTAAAGTAAGGTCGTATCCGTTTCGTTGAGAGATACAAAGAAGCAAATAAATACTGATTTCCCCCACAAGGAATCAAGATCCAGCCCTCTGATTTTGTGTATAATTGAACTCATCATTGCAGAAACAATTGAACTCATCATTGCCGAAAAGTTTTTCGTTTTTAAAATTGTTTTTCCGTTCTGCAAGCGAAGTATCGTACCGTTATTTCACTCTTTTTGTATTTATCCTGATTTTGATTGTGCAATTGTTTTTGGAACAATTTTTTTTCCTTAAAGTTTCCAAAATTGCATAACATTCCACTAAGAAGTGCACTGCTTTGGTACACTAAATAAACAATAGCCTTTATGCAGCACGCAAATATGCGTGGGTATTTGTCGGCAGACATTATCTGTTCCGAGATGCGAACAGTTTTCCAAGAGTAAAGCTAGAGGCTACTGTGAGCTTCGGGAAACAGATAATATCTAAAGAAAAATACACGAGTATACTTTCAGGAGAAATGGAGGCTTCTGTGTTCATTACCCTTCAATTAATTTTGACAACGTGCAGCTCGCCTAGTAATCTGTCGGTATGTATCAGTTTCTTGTAAATTGTCGTCCGTAACGAGTTCTCGTTACGGCTTCACGCTCCGCTGTCTATGAAAGGAAGCGTACCATCTTCTTCGAATTCTCTGGTAAACTGCATGTCAGTGCTTTTTCCTTTAAGGTGGTGAGGGAATACGTCGATTTCGTCGTGTCGTAGGGCGGTGAAAGTGTCCTCAACGTATCATAGCCAAAGCGATATCTTTTGTCGGCAAGTCGAAAGGGGGCGTTCCTCGATGTTATGCATCACATTTTCTGCTACAACAACAGAAACTGGAGACCCCAGAGCTACACCGTGTAACTTGTTTGTAGTGTTTACCGTTGCACTGAAAATAAGTTGACGTTAGCCAAAGGTTCATTAAGTCCTCTGTCGGTTGCGGTAGAGGGTCGGTAGATCGTGGGATTGCAGTGTCAATACATTCTAGTGCCAGTTGAAGTGGAATGCATGTCAAAAGCGATTTCACATCAAATGACACTAGTCTGTAGTCTGTACAGGTATCTGTACAGTCTTGTTGAAGTTAATGAAGTCGTCCGTGGATCGTAGTTTACGTCTGGACCTGTCGATCAACGGTTTTAGTATTGTAATCAGGTACTTGGAAAAATGGTTTCAGTCTTTCATAAGGGACGGGAAGAGATGTTCCTTACTCAGTTGTCGTCCGGTTCACTTCTTCTCTGTTCTTTGTTGCGTAGCAACAAGTTATCTTTTGTGTACAACTGAATGTGCCTGTACTGGAAATCAATTGGACACGAATGCTTCGCAACAAAGTACAGAGACGAAGCAAACCAGACGAAAACTGGGTATTGGCTGAACTTACAATAATAAATCCTTGAAACTTTCAATACTCGAGAATCGCTAAATTTCGAGGAAGTAAGTTAGGAATCGTTAAAAAAACAGCGATCAGATATATAAAGCTTTGATGACTCAGGGACCATTATCTCAAAAGTATGGGATAAAAATCAACTTTCAAATATCGGAGGATTCCTTTTGTCAAAGCTTTCGAATTCAGGTTCAATTGTCCGATCCCGGAAGTAACAAGCCACAAAATGATTCCTCTTCTCGTCTAAGTCCGAAAATATTACCGGCCAGTAGTTGTACGAGAATGTAATTTTTAGAATCTCCTTATCGAGGAGCGTTCTAATCAATGTGTTTAAGTTTTATTCAAATGTATCAATGTTTAATTGTATCAATTGTATCAGTGGCGCGCGAGTCATTTAGAGTTTTTTCTTCAGTGAAAAAAATTGGGCTCCTATATTTTTTGTTTACTTTATTCGGATTATGAGCACAAACAGAAAGCTCACTGTTAACGGTCAAACAATACGACGTAGATATTAATCCATATGATTATTTCCAAGGTTGGAGTTCGAAATGATGTGAATTTGAAAAGATACCGTTTTCACCAAATTACAAGGAAAAATCTTGGGTACCTCTTTCTAAATTTTGTATCCGGTGGTAAAACAAAGTTGTATGTTTTGTGCAAACAAATATCATATCATACGCAAACAAATTGACCGAAAGGTGTCCACATAATGCAGGTTTGTCTGGAGCAAATTTTACCGAAGTTTTCATTTCAGACTATAAACCGAAAATACCTTGGAGCAAAAACCTCTGAACTGTAAGGTAAGATTTTGCATTTTTTTTTTCAGTTCTTGTAATTTCCCTATCATTTTTGAATAGCATGTGATAGTTAGTGCAGGAAGGAACAATGCGATGATGATCTGCTAGATACTTTAATTGAAAGTCTGGCTAGATTTTGATTGAAAGGTAACATATAGACAACATATTAAATAAAGCAATTGGTAGTCAATCAAAATTCGTGTTAAAGCAATGAAAGCATTGGTTGATAGCGCGGCTCTTATCAAAGAAGCGCAAGTCTTAATACTATCACGCTTTCACTCTCGTAACGTAAAGAAGGAAGATTAAAATTTTGTGTTTGGGAAAATACCACTAAGGAATTAAAAAACGCTCAACTTAAGTGGTTGGATTGAAAAAATGATATTTAAAGGTTAATGTTCTAATTTAGTCTTGCAGTGAGAACACTGGCGGCGCGCTCGGCTTTCAACAAAGAGGTGATAGTTTTAAAACTATCTGGTTTTAGTCGTAACATAAAACAAATAGAAGCATGAATTGACGTTTGGGAAAATACTTTTTAGGAATTAAGAATAACGCCGAGTTAAATCGCTGGACTAAAAAAATCAGTGATATTTGCGGGTTGTCGTTCCAATTTAGTCTTACAGTGAAAACTCTGGTGGCATGCGCGGCATTTAACAAAGAGATGATATTTTTAAACTACTCTGCCCTCCTTTTTGTCGACGATAGAACATCGCATAATTAGCGTTACTATTGTTGCCGTATGATAATTTCATGTTCTTTCGTGGCCATAAATACAGCTATTTTTCAGTGATCATTAATTGAGCTTTGTCAAAGTTAGTCAGTCCTTCCACCAATTGAGCCACTAGTTGCCTGACTCATCTTTTCTTATTATTTCTGGCTGCCGGTGTTAATTACCAGAAGTCCTTTTTGGTGTTGTAAAAAACATTTTTAGTCTCCGTAATTCTCTGCTTTAGCAGCAGTCCTTCAGCATTTGTTTGTTGAAGCTGAGCTACGACTTCATTCAGCTGAGTTGCCATGGAGTTGTGCCGAATTCTCAAATTGTGGTTCTCCTCCCGAAGACGCCTTATTTCGGCCTCATAAACCTCTATAAGAGATGTCTGTACCTGTGATTCCGAGAACACCTTCGCGATGTGGAAAGAAATGACAAGGACGCATCCAAACCAGTCGCTAGACACTTTAATCTTCCTAATCATCCATGGCAGTTTGCGGCCTTTCCTTACATCTAGGCAGTTCGGAAAGCCGTAAAACACTAGAACAAAAATTTATATTCCAAATCGGCACCCTTAATCCCCACGGAATCAACGAGCGCTTTTCATTCAACTAATTTATTCCTCTCTTCTCGTCACCATATTCCCACCAATGGCGTAGCTCCACTTTCTACATATAAATCCACACACAACCCACAATTCCTCTAATCGCTCCAACGAAGGGCTAACGCTCGAAACGTCAGCTTTTTTACCCTTTACGGTGGCTAATTTACGTTTTCAACCCAGTTGTTAACACTAAATTACCTGCTATTTATGTGAATCTGTAGGTTTGTAGTAAACACTAGTACAAAAGCCGTTGCCTACAATTGAAATTTTGATGTCTAGAAAAGCCAAAGAAGTGTCGGAAATTTCCCAGGTATATCTAAGAGCCGGATGAAAGGAATTGACGACGGTTATAAATTGAGTGAGGTCCTCTTTGGTAGAGGAGGTAGCGCCGATGCAATCGTCAATGTAGCGGCCGTAGAGTTCAGGTTTTGGGCCGTGGTATTGGCTAAAAAATTGATGTTCGATAAAACCTACAAAAAGATTGGCGTAGCTGGGTCCCATTTTTAGTGCCCATGGCCACGCCATTAGTTTGTTTGTAGTAGTTACCACCGAATGAAAAGCAACTGAGTGAGAGTACTAGTTCGGCCAGACGGAGTAGTGTTTCAGAGCTAGGTTCCTTAACAATGCATTGATCGAAAAAATGTTTGAGGGCCCGGAGACCTTCGTCAGTGGGAATGACAGTGTAAAGAGATGTTATATCCATGGTGAAAATAAGTTTGTTTTGGTCGAGGAAACTAAAGTCACGAAAAATTTTTAAGTGCGTGTTGGCTGTCCTTAATGTAAGACGGTAAGGTTTTGACGATAGGTGCCATAATTTTGTCTAAATAGCTGGAAATAAGTTCGGTGGGACAACTGCAGGCAGAAACGATGGGTCGACCTGGGTTGTAAGGTTTGTGGATTTTGGGTAAAAAGTAAATACACGAAGTTCTAGGAGTGGTAATGATGAGATTTTTAGCAGTGGCCGGCAATCCTTGTTTAGCTAGAAGATCGTTAATCGTATTTTTGACAATGTTTTGGTTAATTGAAGTGAGATCTTTGTCGACTTTAGCATAAAAGGAGGTGTCAGAAAGTTGCCGCAAAGCTTCTTTTTGGTAGAGGTCGGCCCGCCAAACAACAACTGCACCGCCTTTGTCGGCCGCCTTAATGACCATGTCTTTGCGTTTTTTTAGACTTTTTAGTGCCGACCATTCTTCCGAAGAAAGATTGGAAAATTTGGTGTAACGATTGAATTCAAGTTTGTTGATATCATGGCGACATTTTTTGAGGAAAAAATCTAAAGATGAGAACTGGCCCTCTGGGGGAGTCCATTTAGACTCTCGAATCTGGAGTGTTTCGAAAGTATCTTTGTTCGAGGTGTTAGAATCATCCTCTTTGTCATGGAAAAAGGCTTTCAACTGAACGCGGCGAAGGAATTTTTCAACGTCTTGCTTAACAGAAAATTCGTCGGTTTTTAGTGATATGGGAACAAAATTTAAGCC